GATATTGTAAAAAATATTTATGTATGTATCTGGTCTTGTGGATTCTTTTGGTACTGTGGCAAAGCAAGGCCTGCATTTTTAAATGCTAGCGCTACATTAGGACTGAGTAGTAGCTGCCTCATTAAGGCAAGGTATGTGCTACAGTTGATCAGGCCCCGACTGGCCCGCTTCGTCCATTTATTTCATCAGCCTGGCATGTGTTAAACATTTGAGGGTTTGACCCCTGGTTTTAAACCAATAATGCAGTGATCCATTTTGGAATAATTTATGAATTTTAACAGACTTAGAAGTTCATTAAATACTTTTTTTTTAAAGATTTTTTTTTATTTATTTGACAGAGAGAAATCACAAGTAAGCAGAGCAGCAGGCAGAGAGAGAAGGGGAAGCAGGCTCCCTGCCGAGGAGAGAGCCTGATGTGGGGCTCGATCCCAGGACCCTGAGATGATGACCTTAGCCGAAGGCAGAGGCTTTAACCCACTGAGCCATCTAGGCACCCCTAGAAGTTCATTAAATATTTTTTTCCTAATGTAGGATTGCAAAATTTCTCTAAGTCATTCTGGTTGATAAAGTATCACTGAATATATTTGTCGCTTAAGGAATCAGAATCACATACCATCCAAAGAGGAAGTGCAGTTTATTATATTCCAGTTAATTAGGAAATTATAAGTAGATATGGCAGTGCAACAGATATTAAATTTGAGAGAGTGAGAAGAGAAGCTGGATAAGTGGAGCTTTGGAATCCTCTACCATTGTGGTTCTTACTTTCTGAGGGGTAGGGTGTTTCATTCCATTAAAAATTCACCTTAGGAAATTCTCCCTAAGGAAAACCACAAAGCCTTGTAGAAAAAGTTGTGGAATTTTCACATCACTAATTGTCCATGAACCCTAGGATAAGAATTTCTGTTCTGGTAGGATGAGTACAATATTTATGAAGTTATATACGTACATGTGCACATGATTCATCTGGCAAATGCTTGAACACTATATGCCAAGGACAATGACTGATGCTTAATTTATAATGTTGAGTGAGAGGCGTCCTCCCCATCCTCGTGGAGGTTAAATCTAGCGTGGAAGAAGAAATCAGGGAACCTGGGTGGCTCAGTCAGTTAAGTGTCTGACGCTTGATCTCAGGGTCATTAATTCAAGTCCTGTATCCATGGAACATACTCAAAAAAAAAAAAAAAAAAAAAAAAAGAAAGGAAAGAAAACAGGGCAACATATATTTACAGATCATGTTAATGGTATGAAAGAACATGGTGACTTGAAAGATTCTAACAGGTAGAACTAATTTAAATGAGGGGTAGAGAAAGCTTGAGGAAGTGACAATAAGGTTGAGACCTGCAGTTATCAGTCAGGTGACAAGTTTGGGAATCAGTTTTGTAGGCCCTAGGAACAACAGGTGCAAAGACTGTGAGTAGACAGAGTTTGGGCACATTCAAGGAAATGAACAGTTAACGCCAAGAGCAAAGAGAACAATAGGGACCCTATTATTAGCCGACGTGGAAGAGCAATTTGGAAACCAGGAGGGAGTACAAAACTGTGATGAACCATCAAAGAGGACATGATGACTGAAAACTAGTTAATGAATTAAGTAGAAGAAAATCCTTGGTGTAAGCTGTTTTGCTAGACTGATGCGGACAGAAGCCAGATTTTAGTGTGTTAACAGAGGGGAGGAAGTAGGGATGGTCATTATAGATGCCACTATAAACTTCCATATGAAGGGATGGTGGACAATGGCTTGGTAGCTAGAGGTTACTGAGATGATCACTCCAAGTAGACATGGGATTGAGGACTGCCTTATTTTAGAAAATAGGAGACAATAGAGCATCTGTAAATGCTGTCCAGTAGGATCTAATAGGGAGACCAGAAGTTCAAAAAGGGGGAAGACTGAGTGAGTAACATGTTTGAGAAGCCAGGTGTAGCCAGAAACAGATGGTGGTATAGGTGAAGAAGATGAAGACTTGAAGATATGGTGATAGGGAGATGAGAAAGTTTCCATACCACAGCATTTAATTTACTTTTAAGTGAGATTTCTGACCAAGAGTGGTAAGAGGAGGGGGACCAGAGATGTGAGGAGTGAAAGAAGTTGAAATAGCTTTGTGGAAATACATTAAAATTTCTGGACCCTCTTGGGTCCTCATAACGTTGATGAACATGGCTTCACAGTGCTATGATTTTTTTAAAAGATTTTCTTTCCCCAGCCATGTTTTACTATACTGTATCAATGTTGTATTTGTAGGTTTAGATGTTTTCTTAGGTATAGGCCTATGTAAGACAGATATGAAGAACTGAACGATGCCATGAAAAATTACTATAAATGAGGTTATAGAGATGACACTTATAAGTTGAAGGGGGCTCAGGAGTTTCGACTGTAATAACATAGGTTAAGAAGATAGAATGTTAGTATTTTTAAATGCTTTGAAACCTGGAAAAACTGATTTTTTTGTTTTTTGGGTTTTTTTTGTTGTTGTTTTGTTTTTTGTTTTTTGGGGTTTTTTTTGGGGGGGGGTAAAGCAGAGAGCAAACTGTCCAAATTTGAGCCACATTTTTCATTGAGTCACAACTAAAATGAATTGGTTATATGAGATACATATTTGTAAGATGCATGGGAATTATATTAGGCTCTAAGAAAGCTATAATATAATGTAAGCTTCAAGGGCAGAGATCTGTTTTTATTCACTGATACAGTCTGAATACCTAAAATGGCAGATTTTTAGTTAAGGTGTTGGTAGTTAAAAGCCAAAATAGTACTTTGAAATATAATAACCCTTTTGCCATGATGGTTTGTTTGTTTCAGAGCTGTTTATGAAGAAATTGATGTTCATCAGCAGAAAGGAGCTCAAAGTCATAGTGAATGCTGAGGTAGACTTCAACTTATACAACATATATTCCCCATGCTATAGAATTCCAGTGTAATTGCCACTTTGTTTTCAGTATTTACTTTTTATAAAGGCCATTTGAGTCTGACGCTTTGAGTGAAATCTTAGTACAAAAGTTTCTCCTAATCACTCAAATTATAATGAAATACAATTTTTGTGAGCTTGTTAGCTAAAAATAATGAACCTTTGAAATGTAGAAGTTGGTTTATGGTACAGAAATATTAATGCTAACAAAAATAATGATCAACAGAAACTTTTTTTTTAAAGATTTTATTTATTTGTTAGAGAGAGAGCATGAGCACAGGCAGACAGAGTGGCAGGCAGAGGCAGAGGGAGAAGCAGGCTCCCCCCTGAGCAAGGAGCCCGATGTGGGACTCGATCCCAGGACGCTGGGATCATGACCTGAGCCGAAGGCAGCCGCTTAACCAACTGAGCCACCCAGGCGTCCCTCAATAGAAACTTCTTAAGCACTGAAATAGACATTTATTTTTTTACATACAGTTAATATCTACTAACTGGTGAAACCCACTCATTGCTCATCCAGATAGGTCTGGATTCTTCCTATTTGTTATATCAGTCATCCTATTTTATTTACTAATGAATGCATGGCCATCAGTAACCCATTAACCTTATTTATTCCCCTCACACCTACCCCCATTGAACTAGTACATGCCCACCTTTCTGCATTAGATTGTGACTCTCTCGTTGTGTAGGAATGGGGAAAGAAAAGGAAAGGATGAAGGGTGGCTATATTCTTTCTATTCTAGGGGAAGGCGGATGACCAGCTCACTAACTACATTAAAGGTGCCAATTCTCTAAAAGGTAGGCCCTGTGAAACTTTGAGGCCCAGAAGATAAGACCTACCAGCACATCAGAAGCTTAGTGGAACATTTCTCCTCTGCAGTAATGAAGCTTCACAGAAGAGTAACAATTCCACAGGAATATTTATGCTTCCAGACCACAGTTTAAACTTTATCTCAAAAGAACTTGGTTGTAACATATATTCAGTTAAAACTTCAGCAGAAGAAAAATCCATTGTACTGAGGCCAACTAGTTTAACGACAGCACCTTAGGTTTCATCGGGCTTCCTACTTTTAGAAAAGAAATCCTCACACAGCTGTGATAAGAGTAGATGAAGATTATTTTATTACAAAATAATTATGAAGACTATTGAGTGCCTTCATTTAACTAAGTTGAATGTAAAAGTCAATTTGTACTTTTTATAAATAATACTTGTTTAGAATTATAACTTGTAAAAGCCTTCATGATTGTAGTTCATATTTCAGATACCTTGAAGAGGTCACTGGACTCTTCATTAAAGTTGCCTTTAAATACAATTCTTTGTAATACTAGATGATCTTTTTTCTCCCCCTTTAACTGTAATACTTCTATCTGGAACAAACACTACTAGAAAATATTTAGAATAAATTGTGCATTCATTTATGTCATAAATTACAATGACAGATTCCTATTAAAACAATTAATACATCTTTTTTTTTTAAACAGAGTTTGTTCATAGAACTTCTGGTATGAGTCTTCACAATTCCACATTTATATTTTAACATTCAGGGACTTGAACTATCAAAGGAAATGCTAGAATCCTAGTTAATATATTTGTGCATTTTATTTCAATTCATGATGCCAAAATTTCAGAATATAAAATAGCCCTAGGGCCTAAAGGAAAAACAGTCAAATCTGAAGTCAGTATGTTACCTCTAGGCAAGCTGTTAGGGCTCAGTGATTCTTCTTCCATTGTGAGCTTTTAAAGTAGTAACTATTCACAATAAAAGAAAAAAGTAGTAACCCGACTATTTTAGAAATAATAAAAATGGGCAGAAGACCTGGAGCCTAAAACAGATAACCCTGGGAATAACAAAAATATTCACTGTTACAAGTATGAAGGGCTAATAATCTGTAAGGGGAGCAAATAGAATTAATCTGAACCATCAAGTCCATGCCTACATATTTAAGAAACAGGAGTTTCTCTTATTATTACTTACCAATATTACTTTTAGTATTACTTATATTACTCTATGGCTTTGAACAGTCATACATTCAAATAGGCATGTGGATTCCTTATGATAGAAACCGTTCAATTTTAAGTAGGTTAAATTAGTTGAGAAAAAAAAAAACAGCATTAAATAATATTTAAAATAGCTTCACATTACTGTAGGATATTTCTCCCCTGAGAAGAGTAGATACATGATTTTTCAAAAATCACAAATCTGAAGCAGGACTTAGGTGCTAACTTCAATTATAGCCTGGAACCGGCAACTGCTGTCCCTCCTTTGCTTCAAAGAAAGTGTAGGAAAGAGTGATGAGATCAACATTCACCATTCTTGGATCTTCAGCAAATTCAGGATCAATGTAGAAAAACACTGGCATATCTACTTCTTCTTGTGGATTAAGCCTTTGTTCCTCAAAACAGAAGCACTAGAAGTTATAGAAAGATATTTAATTTCTTTTAGAATAGAAATATTAATAATGGTCCATTTCTTGGCTTTAGTGAGCATAAAATTGAATATTATAAGAAAAATAACTAAATATTATCTAAGTTCTGAGACAAAATGACAGTATCTTTGATTTTTGCTTTAAATTGAGACTCAATGGGCTCCCCCTGCTCAGCGGGGAGTCTACTTCTCCCTCTGCCCCTCCCCTCGACTTTTGAGCATGCACACATGCTCTCTCACTCATAAATAAAATCTTAAAAATTTCAAAAAAAAAAATACTGAGACTCAACAAAATTGGTGGGGGTGGGGGGCAGATGGGGAGTGGGAGAAAGAATCTGGAGCAGACTCCCAGCTGAGCACAGAGACCAGTGCCAGGCTTGATCCCATGACCCTGAGATCATGACCTGAACAAAAATCAAAGACTCCAACACTTAACTGACTGAGCCACCCAGGCACCCTGTTCCTCTTCTAATTTTAAAGAAATTAAAATTTGGTTCATCTCAACCTCTGCATACCTGTTTAAGCAATGGGAAAAAAGTTTAATGTTTAGAAGAAAAGAATTTTCGGAAATCAGTTTCTACTAAACGCTGCAGTAAGTTTAATACTAAAGTTTGCATATATAAGCTGTACCTGTATTTTATTGAAATACTGTCCAGCTTCAAATGGTACAACATTGTATGTAGAAATTCCAATTACTGGTTTGTCTGTAGGATTCTTAGCTTTATAAAACGCCAGTGCAGTCTCTCCTGGCACTACCTGTTTTAAGGAAATACACATCATCAATATTTCAAATCTCACAGCTCCTCCTTTCCCTTATATTAAATTAGTCATATTATTTTTCCTATCCATCAGACCACAATACTTTATCTAAACTAATACTTAGGATCAGCAAAATAAATTGTGAATACTACCCATGAATATCTTTTTTTTTTTTTAATATCTGGTTTTCAATTTTTACTTGCATATGTCAGTGGAACCAGTTTCCTATTCATTATTAATTGTGCATTGTCCTTTTGTATATCTCAGGTCTTCAAGTAATAATCTGCAAATTAAATTACTTAAAATGTTCAAGGACAGCCAAGCCTATCACAGCCCAAACCTGATTTGATTATTTTTTTTTTAATTTATTTGACAGATCACAAGCAGGCAGAGAGGCAGGCAGAGAGAGAGGAGGAAACAGGCTCCCTGCTGAGCAGAGAGCCCAATGTGGGGCTCGATCCCAGGACCCCGAGATCATGACCTGAGCCAAAGGCAGAGGCTTTAACCCACTGAGCCACCCAGGAGCCCCTGATTTTTTTTTTTTTAAAGATTTTATTTATTTATTTGACAGAGATCACAAGTAGGCAGAGAGGCAGGCAGAGAGAGGAGGAAGCAGGCTCCCCGCTGAGCAGAGAGCCTGATGTGGGGCTCGATCCCAGGTCCCTGGGATCATGACCTGAGCGAAGGCAGAGGCTTTAACCCGCTGAGCCACCCAGGCGCCACCAAACCTGATTTCTTAACACTGATACCAAACACCCTGACTGACATTCTTTTTAAGAGGTTACCAACTAGAGCAAATTAAACTTATAACCAAAATAAAACTGACTGAATAGAACTTTTATTTAACCAAAAAGCATGAATACTCTTTGTGAGTGAACACATTTTTAAAACTTGCAAGGCTTTAAAAAAACAGATTTCCAAAAGATTCTCTGTCATTTATACCAATTCAGCCACTAATATCTTAAACAATTAGAATACTAAAAATCATAACCTATAAAACCTTCAATCATTGAAGAGATTCAGTAATGTTTACTAACCTGGGGAGACACCAATATTTATAAAGGTTTTCCAGTAAGGGTCACAATGAAGCATTTCTGGCTATTCCTCAGTTCATGAAATAATTTCAATTAAATCCTCTAGGATTCCAGTTAGTCAAGATTTTAGGAAACTTTTAAGGTATAGCTTTTCTGAAGTAGAACACGACTATTTAATATGATTACTTCAAAGCTTCTCAATTTTTTTGATACAGGCATATTTTTGATATAAATCAGTAAACTGCTTTTCATAGTAATCAATGATTTTCAACCTTTCCCCCTTATCTATACCTGAGGGAAAGTTAACCACATAGCATAAGAGAGTGAATTCTTTTTTTTTTTTTTTTTTTTTTTTTAAGATTTTATTTATTTATTTGACAGAGAGAGATCACAAGTAGAGAGGCAGGCAGAAAGAGGGAGGGAAGCAGGCTTCCTGCTGAGCAGAAAGCCCGATGCGGGACTCGATCCCAGGATCCTGAGATCATGACCTGAGCCGAAGGCAGTGGCTTAACCCACTGAGCCACCCAGGCGCCCAAGAGAATGAATTCTTAATATGACTCTTAATAAGAACAAATGACATTTTCCATCATTCCAAACAGACTTTTACTACAGTATCATACAATATACTGTTACCTTAGGTATAGGGGACTGTCAAAAGTAGTCTGTGAGAATAAAACAATTACATTAATGTAGTCTTAGTATTTTGAGATTAAGTTTACAGGAGTGTTCCCTAAATTGTTAAACAGTTTAAGTGATGATAATTTTTACAACGAAAAAAATAATCTTTTAATAACTACTTATAGTCACTTACATATATTTCTGTTTGCTGCGGTCTAAAATTCCACTGGAGACTTGCATGCACATCTGCATTAAAGGTGACTTTAATAATTCGATCCTTAACAGGCACCATGTTTTCAATCTGGTCTGATGCATGACCTGCTACTGCTGATCCTCCAAGACCAGTAGTCTAGGTATTAAAGATATTAAGAATATTACAGGGTAATATGTCAAATAATACTTTCAGGTGATGGTTTATTGGATAAAAACAAATTTTAAAAACAATTTAGCCCAGTTTATATACTGTCACTGGCCACTTCCTATGAATGTGTCAATGGCTTGACCACCTTTGGGGTGTCAAGGGCCTCTATTTGTTAGAGTCACTTGGTTATTGGACATAGTAAAAAAAATGAGTCATTTGAGAGAAAGCAGACTCCCCAGTGATAATATATAGCTCAGAATTTTAGCTTAACTTTCCAGTAAACATATTTCTATGTATTGCTACTGTTTCATATACACTACTAGTCATTAACAGAAGTAAAAATTACCCACGGCCCTATCATTTCAATGAAACTAATTCCATTATCCATAGTCCTATCTGATCCTTTTCCCTATCATGATTTTAATAGCATAGATTAGTTTGTAGTTTCACTTCTGTATTCCGCTTTTCTCAAGCATCCTAAGTATTTTTCCATGTTGGTAAATGTTTTTGTAATTTTTTTCTGTACTTTGTATAGTATAGCTTTTGTAAATATCATTGGTTAATCAGAAAAACTGATCCCTTTGGCAACTGAATAAATCACAAGACAACAGAATAATCTGTGTCTGACATTTCTTGCCTATCTTCATTGCCATTAATTATCTCCTTATCATCAGAGATGTTTAAAAAGAAAAATCCTTACTTCCAGGGTCATCATTCTTCTGATGCTTGAGGTTGCCAGAATTCTGGTCTCCGGATAATTAATCTGTTACTATACTAGGAAAAAAATACCAAATTTGAGGCTAGGGGAAGACTCCCAGCAAAATGTAGTATTACTATCTTCCATGTATTACACAAGTCAACTAACTGCACTCAACTGCCCTGCAACATTATTGAATTACATTATAAACCTAAAAGCTGCTAGGGTAAGCCTTTATCCTGTTTAATAAGTAAATTCTTCTGCCCATGAGAGCTATAGTGCTTAAGTTTTAAGACGTAACTCCTGAAGAATTTGAGTCACTTGAATAAAGATTCCTTAATGTATTCTGACAGACAGTCTTTGCATATAGATTCTTCAAATTTGCAAATTTGATAATTAAATAAGAACAGAAAAGGGCAATGAAAATATGTCCTGGGCTCTAGTCTAGTTCTGCTACTAACCAGCTCTAAGAACTGAATAAATCTTACTTTGGGGGGCTATATTTTCTTTTTCTTTCTTTTTTTTTTTAAAGATTTATTTATTTATTTGACAGAGAGCACAAGTAGGCAGACAGGCAGGCAGAGAGAGAGGGGGGAAAGCAGGCTCCCCACTGAGCAGAGAGCCCGATGTGGGGCTCGATCCCAGGACCCTGCGATCATGACCGGAGCCAAAGGCAGAGGCTTTCACCCACTGAGCCACCCAGGCGCCTCTGGGGGGCTATATTTTCCACATTCATAAAATGTGTGGTCACTGTATTAAACTTTATATAATTCCTTATTTTTGGCTCTAAAGTTCTGTGACTCCAAAAGTAAAAAAGAGGCTCTTTTGGAAATGTCACCGTGTAACGTCCAACTTGATTTAAGTTTAGAATTACAAATTACAATTTTTACTATCCTGCTCTGCATCTGCACACACATGTACAAAATACTGTCATTCACTTAAGTGTGAAACCGGGGGTTTCTCAACTTTGGCACTAAGGGCATTTCAGGTTGGATAATTATTTGGGTTTTTCTGGGTTTTTTTGGTGGGGGAGGCGGGGGAAGTGTTTGTCCTGTGCAGTATTGAACGTTCAGCAGCATCCATAGCCTCTACGCACTAGGACATCAGTAGCACCTTCCCTGCTCACCTCCCAAGTTATGACAACCAAAAATGTCTTCAGATGTTACTAAATATTCCCTGAAAATAAAACTGACCCCCTTCTCCCCTCATGGTTTGTGGAGATTTATACTTGCTATTTTGGATTCAGTTTTATGATTTAACTAACTGCTAGTTTGGGGATCCATGCTAGGTCCAGATTGCCCTCTGATTAAAACTAATTCACATTCTATACTCATCCTCCCAAATTAAGCTACTGCATACCCCATGAATACTAATATTTGGAGACTGAAAAGTCCTTTGGATTTTTGCTGTTTTAGTCATTATGGAAAATAGCATGTTCGTGTCCAAAAGGAGAAGAGAAGTAAGCGAGGCATTAACAATACCGGCACTGGTTAACCAGTGATTCCCAAACTTTGCTACACACTGGGATCACCTGAGGAATCTTTAAAGAGTTACAAATGCCCGACTCCCTCTGGGAGACATTCTGATTTAAATGGTTAGGGATGTGACCTGGGTGTCGGGATTTTTAAAAGCTCTCCAGATGAACCCCCCCCTCACAACAAAGTTGGGAGAACCACTATCAAACACTTAGTGAATGACATGAATGTAGCTCTCACTTATGTTTCTTAAACAGAAATTCCTGGCCCCTTCCCAGACCTAATCAGAATCTCTGGGGTGAGGGAGCCCCAAAACATATTTATTAAAGAAACTCCACTAGTGAACCTAATGCCTAGCCAAAACAGCAAACTATTAATTACTTCCTTAATTCTTAAGGAAAATATATGTGAAATACGTAAAGTTTGCCTTTGTTTATGGTTCTCAAATACTAGTCTGCATCAAACACAGCTAGGCGACTTATTTAAAGCACAGATTGCCGCGCCCCTCTCGCAGAGTTTCTGATTCGGTGGCTCTGGAGCTTGACTTGGTAATGTGCACTCAAGCTCCCAGGTGATGGGACGCTGGTTCTCTGGGGGACCACACCTGACGAACTGAATTAGGGTTTCTGATCTAAAAGGGGGCCCTGGGTAAGCAGATTACACTTATGTATCAACAGTGGAGGGAAGCCCCAAACGCCCGACTCATGCCTTTGTAGGGATTAAAAGTACTTCCAGCTTAAGCCCGACTGACAAGCATACTCCCACTTCCAGGGTTAACCATCGCACATAAACCATATATGGTTCACAGAAGCAATGTACTCATGTAACTCACATCTTATAAAAGAACACGTGTGTGAGCAGCTAAAGGGTAAGGCAGACTGGTGGAGAGCAAAGTATAGGCTGCGGACGTTTTCAGTAGTGTAGCTCAGAGATAGGGAATTCCACTCCAGTGTGGTCGGGATAAGCACGACTGCTATAGGGGCTTGGGTTCTACTTGTAGTTTTACCACTAACTTCTTCTGGTAAGCCTGGGAAAGTACTTTTTTTTTGGGGGGGGGGAGTACTTTTTAAAGCCTGTTTCCCCTCTGGTAGCCAACTTCAGGCCCTTCCACACGACACGGAGGAGCGATCGCTACCTAGGGACCTGGCCCGCACCTCCCGCCCATGACACCGCCCAGGAGGCAGCACCGCCCCCTACCTGGCAATAGAGCCGATAAAGGGGCACGGCGGCGTAGGACGCCCCCAGCATGCCCACGGCGGCGGCGGCCACGTACGTGAGGACCGTCTTGTTCCGACGCCGCCAGTCCTCCTCCTGCGCGCGCGTGAAAGGGTTCGTGCTCTTCGGCCGCCATGGCGGCTGCAGGGCCAGGTCTGGGCCCGGGTTCGGGCGCCTCCATGTCCCAAGCCGCCTCAGCCCCCTCTCAGCACTTCCTGTCCCACTCCTTCCCGGCCTGAGAAACGGCTCTGCGCTCTCGGCAACTTTGGTCGGGGACCCAGGGTGACTCCAGCGCCAGCCACAGAAGGTAACGCGCCTCCATGCCCCACGCCAGAGTCCTCCCATAGCGCCGAGAGCTCCTGGCATCGGAGACGAGAAGACAGATCTCGCGATGCCTGGCCAGTCTCGCGACAACTGGGAGGAGCTTGCCGCTGCTCTGGCTACAGGACTCCTCAGGTGGTGGCGCTGGCAGTCGGGCTACGGAGGCCGGGTTACCAGATTACGGGTAAATTCGCGTTTTGCTCCATGACTGTTCCTCCCACTTTGCTTCCCTCCAGTGCTTTTCAAAGTTACTTTTAGGGAAACGCCATGCGCTCCACGGGGTGCAAACACATCATCCTTTGAGCTTGTGTCCCAGGTCTTCTTAAACTCACTGCACCATCTTTTGTCTCGACCTAGCGGCCCTCAGCTTCCTACCGCTGCTTACTGCCCTGGACTTGAGCTCAGGGATCACCTCCTCCAGGAAGCCTGCCTGTGTTCACCACAGCGCACAACTACACTCGCACATCTGCATTTTCTCAGCCGCTAGGAATAGGCTGCCTCGTCGCTGATGCCCCTTAACCATTTGTTCAGTTAAAATAACCAGTTCTGGAGCAGAGAGACGTTGTCAAACGAGTTTGTCCAGAGGAGAATGACCAAGGCATGAAGATAATTTAAGGAAGGATTGAAAGAAATGGGGATATTCATCTTGGGAAAGAACCCTATGGGAGATTTAATACCTTTCTAAGCTTGATGCACAGGACAAAGTAGGACCTCAGGGGAGCAGACGGCACAGCCTGTTTTGCTGTAATGGAAGGAAACATCCTTCTAGAAACTATCAAAGAGTGGAGAAAGCCCACATTCTGAGGTTCAGCTCTGGGGTCATGCCCGCGTCCCACTATCACCTTGTGTCCTTAGGCCAGTTATTTTACCTCTGTAAGAAGTGGCGGCCTTATTAGTAAAATGGAAATCATAATACTATGAGAATATGCATATAAAGTGATTTTTCACTCTCCTTGAGATAGTAAAAATTTAGTAAATGTTAGACTCTATTCTAATGAGTGGTGCAGGTATAATATCCCCTTTTTTATGGATGAGGAGACTCAACCTGAGACATATATAAATAACATTAATTTAATAAAAAGGAAACTATTTATTGCACTTTTCTATGGCCTAGACCTTGCTCAAGCTGCTGGGACTACAGCACAGAGAAAGGCAAACACGATCACTTCTCTTCTGAAGTGTACTTCCTCCTGGGGGACTCTGGAGATAATCAAGTAACAGATATATAAATGAGGGAATTTCAGATAACAATCAGTACAGTGAGACAATAGAAGAGGATAGTGTGATTGAGAATAATAATGAGAAGGGGTAGTGAAGTCTTTCTGAAAATGTGACATTTGAGCCTAGTCCTGAATCATGATAAGGAACCTACCTGCACAATGACAGTTCCAAGCCGTGCAGAGGCCCAGAGGCAAGTAAGAGCTAGATAGCACTGAAGAGCAAATGAGGCCACTGTGTTCCTAGCATAGTGAGCTTGGAGGAAAGTAGTAGGAAATAAGGTCAAAAAGGTATTATTAGGGGCCAGATAATACAGAGCCTTTTAAGCCATGTCCAAGGGTTTGAATTTTATTCTAAAAGTAATAGGAAGGTACTACAGAGTTTAGGTTGAAGCATACAAGTGATATGATCTGATTCACATTTTTTTAAAAGATTTTTATTTATTTATTTATTTGACAGACAGAGATCACAAGCAGGCAGAGGCGGGCAGAGAGAGAAGGAGGGGAAGCAGGCTCCTGCTGAGCAAAGAGCCCGAGGTGGGGCTCGATCCCAGGACCCTGGGATCATGAACTGAGCTGAAGGCAGAGGCTTTAACCCACTGGACCACCCAGGTGCCCCTGATGCACACTTTTTTTTTTTTTTTTAAAGACCTTGGTTATGCTGTGGAGAACCCATTAAAGGGAGGGGGTAAAAATGGAAATAGAGCAGTTAGGAGGCAGTTGAGGTGAGTAATGGTGGTCACCTTGAGTGAGTATGAGTAATTGATTAACTTGTAGTCACAGGGCCAGAAAATTACAAAGCCACTAAGATGCAGGTATCTTCTGACTCGTTCCTGCTGTGGCACAAAAACCAAGATGCTATGATTCTGCAGACTTATTTGTATTGTTTTATGTTTGAAAATCTTTTCATCTGTACTTACCTTAGTTCTTATACCAGATTGTCAGCTTTTTCAGGACAAGACCTGTCATATATTGAGTTTCTTAACAGCATAGTCTCAGACCTGATGCAAACATTAATGTCATTGAAACCAACAATACATTCCCTTAACCATTTTTTTTCCTCCAGGCACCCCTTCCATGTAGCATCAGGTATCGGTATAAATGTATCGGTAATAGTGTCTTTGTCTTGGCATCTGTTATGTTGTTTTGTAATTACAAATGAAACTATTCCTTTCCAAGGTCATCTTGATAGCAGTAAAATGGTATTAGCTATAATTCTCTTGAGTCTGAGTATGCTTGTGATATTGCATAAATCATTATGATAACTAATGCTAAGTAATGAGTTCTACTGTGAATGGAATAGGAGCACCTCAGGGCAAGGTTAGTACAACCCTGTTCTGCAGGTAGAGATGTTGATTACAGACTTAAAATATCAGAGGCTGGACTGACATTTCAGACTTGGCGCCTTTAATTTATATCATTCTTTAGCAGTAAGTAACTAAACATTGTGAACCCTTCCTAGTTAGCTATGATCGTGTCCAGTTTTACATAATAGGTAAAATTGGTTGTTATACAAACCATTTGGGGGGCTGGAGGTGAGCAAAATGGGTGAAGGTGGGAAAAGAGGGGAAAAAAATGGGGGGAAAAAAAGAGAAACCATTTGATAGTCACGCATTTTCTTCTTCTTTTTTTAAATATATTTTTAAAGGTTTTATTTATTTATGTGAGAGAGAGTGAGTGAGAAAGCACAAGATGGGGATGGTAGGGGGAGAAGCAGTTTCCCTGCTAAGCTGAAGCTCCATGCCCCATTCAACTCCTTCAGGACTCCATCCTGAGACTCCAGAATTATGACCTGAGCGGAAGGCAGTCTCTTACTGGCTGAGCCACCCAAGCCCCCTGATAGTCACACATTTTCTTATCTGATTACTGGTTCTCAGGCTTTATGAAAACTTAAAGATTATAAAGATGTATCATGTTAAAAATGTGGTTTGTAATTACATTTTTAGTATTTTTAATGCGTATTATAAACTAAGGAAATTTCTAGTTAAATCTTAATGTGTTAGTCACATAGCTCCATTTCTTAGCTATTTGCGTAATAAAGCTAGATCCACTTGGCAATGTGAACCACCTAGCAGTTATTCCAAAAGTACTAACAATTCTTATTCGGCTTCTATATAATAATCTCCTTATACCTATAAGAGGAAGAATTATACATCTCAATAAGTAGTAAGAACAAGTGATTTATAGTTTGTTTGAGAATAAGCTGGATCATCACAGTTTTTAGTGATTGTAATGACATCACGAAGTTGTCTCAGTAAGTCTTGATATCCTAGTTTCTTACTTCCTGGCAGCTTCCTTTAAGCTACATGTTTGAGGAGCTACTCTATTTAAAAGATCTTGGAAAAGTTTATAAATTTGATAGACCAGGTGAAATGAGAGTAGAAATCATCCATCCATAGAAGGCATTTAAAAAAATAAATATTTATTAAGATGAGGGCCAGCTTTGTGGATAGGTGACCTGTGCAGTCACATAAGAGCCTCCTTTTAAAAGGGCTCTTTGTGGGGCGCCTGGGTGGCTCAGTGGGTTAAAGCCTCTGCCTTTGGCTCGGGTCATGATCCCAGGGTCCTGGGATCGAGCCCCGCATCGGGCTCTCTGCTCACCGGGGAGCCTGCTTCCTCCTCTCTCTCTGCCTGCCTCTCTGCCTACCTGTGATCTCTGTCAGATAAATAAATAAAATCTTTGGAAAAAAAAAAAAAAAGGGCCCTTTGCCCCAAATAGAGGGAATGACATTTTAAAATTTTTTATTTTATTTTTTTATAAAAGATTTTATTTCTTTATTTGACAGACAGAGATCACAACTAGGCGGAGAGGCAGTCAGAGACAGAGATGGGGGGGAAGTAGTCTCCCCGCTGAGCAGAGAGCCCAATGCGGGGCTCAATCCCAGGACCCTGAGACAAAGGCAGAGGCTTTAACCCTCTGAGCCACCCAGGCACCCCCGGAATGAGATTTGAACATAATTCAGGATAAAGCCATGTCAGCCTTCCTGAGATAAGCAGAGTTAAAGGCAGAAGCAGAAAACTAGGGAAAATGCAAAAGCAGAGAGCTGAATCTCAGGAAGTGAAAGGTAAGAGATAAGGCAAAAGGCAAACTCAGGTGTCCTGAGAATAGTCAGGGTATATGAAATAACATCAAACAAAATCCAGGCTCCTTACCGTGGCCCATAAGACCCTAGGTTGGTTAGACCCTGCCTGCTTCCTGAATTTTATCTACTATTTCTCTCTCCCCACATTCACCATGTTCCAGCCACACTTCTTTCTTTCTTTCTTCTTTCACACGCACTTTCTATAAACACCCCAAACCTATTTTGCTTCCTTGAGACCTTTTCTCTACCTGGAACACTTTGTTCCTCAGTTTTTCTCCTGGCTGACCTATCATTTGGATCTCAGCTGGACACCACTACCCAATCTAAATCAGCCCTTCTCTGTCCGGTCACATTTGTGTATCAGAAATCCAGCTTGTTTTGTTGTTTCCTTTTTTAGTATTTTTTCTCTCTACACTAGAATATAGATGCCATAAGAGCAGGGACCTTCTCTGGTACTATCACAAGCACTCAGCATAGTGCACATGGTTGTACTGAGTAAAATGTTTGGGGGACGACTGCACCAGTGAAAGCAAGCAGAAGGCCGTCGCTAGTGTAGGGAAACTTCCGAGAGCAGTGAGCTCTTGCTCTGATGAAGATCCCCTGAGATTAGGACTCCTCCTTTCAAGCAGTTTTCCAGTGTTTCCCACAGGGCTGTGGGTGTGTTACGGGCTGTTGCTATGTGTCCACCCCCAGGGCAAATGAGCAGCATTCCTGAACTGCTTAGTTTTTTGTTTTGTTTTGTTTTGTTTTTTGCTTAGATTCTTGGAAGAAAAAAAGT